TGTGAACCTTAAAGTCACTGCATATTATGACTGAACTAGAACTAAATTATTATCTATTTTTTCTAGATTTGACCACAAGCTTTCAAGTTTAAGCATTCAAGTTTGTTTTCTATAGACTGAATGTATAATGAACTGAACGGTTATCGAACAGTTTTGACATTTGCAAATGTAATGTGAGAATACTTAAATGAAGACCCCTTAATATGATACCCTATAAAGTCCACTTTACACTACTTCTTTTCACTAATTTCAGTGAGCCTAAAGTTAAGGATGTGCAAATATGCTGTAGTCTTTGAGCAGTTGAAATTATGCATCACTATATATTCTAAATAGCTGCAAATTTGGAGCTTGAAACCACCTTCCATCTTGGGAACTTCAAGATATAAATTCTCACCATAATGTTCCTAATAGTTATTGCAATGACAGTTAACACTTTGTGTCCCTGTATTTTCCATTTCCTGTGTAAACAGGCATTAGGGTGCAACCAGAAATCTCTTTTGACAAACAACCTCCATGCATTGAAAACACTAACTAATTTACCTACATCCTTAGAAACTCTCTTATTTTCACATATGTGGAACAAAGTAAAGGCAGTTAAAGTTTTCCACCTAAAGCAATTCCCCTTTTCTCAAACAAGAAAATAGTGCAACATTTAATTTTTTCACAAACAAGTTAGTTCATTGCATTTTTTCTTCCACTCTATTGTCTTGGCACTCAAAGGAATTAAAGTTCTTTTCCGTTTGAAAATATCACAAAACTGGCCAAAATGGTACAGTTATCATTAAACGCCTTATGCATCCAGCAATTCAGTGACTACAAAAAAGATCTACAAGCTAACATCAGAAATTCTGTGTTAAGAATTTTTCAAATGAAGTAATCCAGATACAAAAACTGTTGGCCAAAAGCTGCTAGTTTGCCAAAGTGGAAGTTATATACTGTTAGAATCAATATATCATGCACTCCTCAAAGAAAGTTAACAACTTTGTTTGGTTTTACTAAATTGAAACAATTCCCACTCAATAACAATGTGTCACAGGAGTGCAACTCAATGGTGTCACACCTGTTTCAGTTCACACATCCATACAGGCAGTTAAACAATTTTTCCTGCGTTCAAGTCCTTCCCTCTGAATGGGACAATTGTACTGTCTTCACTATCCTGCTGAAAATGGTGTTCACTGTCCCTGTGTGTTGAAGGAGGCACGTTGTGCTGGTGATGGAAAAATGCTGACCCTGGATAATGACCCATGACCTCACTGTAAGTGGGTGGTGGTCCTTCCATCCTTCCATTGCTGCTATAATTTGTTGCACTTATGCCTGAATTGTTGCTTGGTGGGCATGGTCCTCCATTATACATAGAGACATTGATCAAGTCACTATCAAATATGGTTCTGTTAGGTGGAGCCCTGACAGACTCACGATTGAGTTCCAATTGTTGTTCTGGATCTCGAAGTTGCAATGTACACAGCCTCTGATACGGAGGAGGTTCCTCTCCATCTGACAGTGAAATAGTGGGAGGAAGATCAATCTCATGTTGCATGTAGGGGTATGTGGGTTGAAAGCGGCTAAAGCGTTCCCTCTGCATGAATGATGGGGCTGTGAATCTGTCCCTTGATCTTGGAGTATACATCAGCTGAAAGCAAACAAGAAACATCTAAAGTTATTTTTGGACTGAGGTAATAGCATGATTCTTATATAAAATTTAATACACTATAACTTGCCAGTCAAATTGAAATAAGGTTTAGATTATTCTTAATATTCTCACCAGGTATAGCTGGTGCAAAGTAAGTTCAAAAGCTGTAAAGCCAGTTCAGAAAGAGAAAGCAAGTACTCTACTAATATCAAAATCTAGTTACCCATTAGCAGCGGCCATCAGCATAATTTGGATCTGCCCTAAACAGACACCAATCTAAGATCTGTATCTGCAGTATCACAGCACTATAAAATAAAGTAGATCCTGCAGCAAAAGCAGGATGAAGAGAAACATTAAAGGAATTAGGATTAAGTAAAATAAAGCACCTGTTAAGAACTTTAAAAACTAAAATCAGGGAAGCAGTGAACACCTTTAAAAGTGTACTAAATTAAAAAATGTAAATAATTGTCCATGAAAAATAAGTGTGAGACAAACAAGAATTGGTGTTAGTCTGTCTTCAACAGAGTGTTTTACCTGAAGTAGCATTGCTCAAGTTATGGCATAACATGTCATAATATTAGAAACTAAGTATGAATATTGTGGTATTGAAGGATTCACGGCACATATTATCACGAATAATTTTTTAAAAATATTATAGTCCTCAGGTACATAAATATCTGGGCTATTACTAAACTATTAGATTTCAACAGGAACATGCTTCCAGGAGAGTGACATGCTTCAAGTGATCTTAAACAAGATGGGATTACAAGACTTTATACCCTCCAGTTACAAGCTATATAGAATGACAATATAATGAAATTGTCTCTTAAAGGCTGACACATTGATTTACAACATAACACAATAAGCAATTTCCCAAATTAATACAAAAGTAGAAATGGAAAGGAGGAGGAAAAAGCAATCTAAGCAATCTCAGTAGAAAAAATTACATTGGGAAATCTAAATACTAGAATAAAAAGGTAGCTTTGGAGGAAGCTAAAATTCTAAAAAATGAAAGTAGTGGTGAAAATAAAGTTTTGAAATATTCATTAAATAGCACTTTCATTAAAAAGCATATCAGCTTCCTTTCTGCACAAGCAGAATACCAGAGGGAGTTGATAATGCTTTAGTACAGGCACTTGATAAACAGAACAGTTTGGAATCAACAAACCCCTGGTCCATCTAGCTTTACATAGAAATAATATAGCATAGAAGAGGCCCCTCGGCCCACCGAGTTTGCACAAGTCAAAACCATGCCAAATCTACATGAATCCCGCCTTCTAACACTTGGTTCATGGCTTTGGATGTCTTTGGTAAGACTATAATGCATGATTAACTGGGCAATGAAGCAAGGAATCCAGGTTTTATTTAAGTACAGAAAGGCTGCAGAAAACTACAGGGCTGAGGGTTTGGGAGTCTCCATGCATGAATTTCAAAAAGCTAGGATACAAGCTCAGCAGGCAACAGGGAATGAAAGCGGAATGTTGACCTTTATTTTAAAGGAGTGGAGTGAAAAAAAGGGAAGTCTTGCTGAAATTATACAAGGCACTAGTCAGACCACAACTGGAAAACGGTGAACAGGCTTGGGCTCCTTAACTGAGGAGAGATATACTGGCACTGGGGGCAGCCCACTTGACTGATCCTGGATATGCAGGGACTGTCTCATGAAGACAGGTAGAGGAAATTGAGCCAGCACTCATTGGAGCTTAGAAGAATAAGAGCCACCTTTTTGAACCAGACAAGGGGATTTGACAGGTTAGATGTAGAAAGGTTGCTAACACCAATGAATGTAAGAGGATGGTGGTTAGATTCTCTTGTTGAAGATTGTTATTACCTGGCACTTGTCAGAACAAAGAGTTGCCCATCTTTCTTTTCTCAGGCAATAGTAGATCTGTGGAATTCTTTATCTCTAAGGACTGTTGAGGCTGAGTCATTGAGTATATTCAAGGCTGAGATACGTAGATTTTTAATCAGTGAGGGAATCAAGGGTTTGGGGGAAAAGGCAAGAAAGTGGAGTTGAGGATTATCAGATCATTGAATGGTGGAGCAGACTCAATGGGCTGAATAGTCTGCTTCTGCTTTTATGTCTTATGGTCTTATGTTTGTAGGTTTGCAAGCATTCAAAATAGCAGGACCCAATCTTTGTTGAGCTTTGTGGTGTCTTTTAAAATTCACTCCAAACTAGTTTGGATTGCGGGAGCAAGCTTACTGTTATTCTTATATATTTTGCAGGATTCCATGAACACAATGTGATTACTCTTCCACTTTTGATGGTTTATACATTTCATACCATATAAGGAATGTTTTATAGTATCAAAACAACCTGACATCATCATTTAACTGGAACGTACCTCTGAAACGCCATGATGAGATACTGTGGTATCTGCTGAGCATAGGCACCCTTCCTATTTGAAAAAAAAAACATTTCATTAAATAAATAGTACAATATTATACTTGGTTATAGTCATCCCCAAGTCAAAAAAGGTTAAAGTTTTTTTGCATTCATGGTTTAAAGTTCACTGAATATACAGTGACCAGCAGAAATCTGCTCTTCAGGTGTCGATTTTGTATGTGGTTATAATCAATACATTAAACTCTTACATTAAACAAGTTGGACCAGTACCAAGTGCAGCTAATGGTGTGACCAGAGTTGATTATATTTTATACCATTCTCTATTGATAGAATGGTTTTTAATATGTCATTCTCTTGTTAAACCAATTAAGGCCATAAATAACTCCTGTCTTGAACACCAGGATCATAACAATGTAGTTGATTCTTAAATGCACGCTTAAATGAAATGGTTTAGCAAGCCATTCAGTTATATCAAACTGCTGCAAAGCTTAAAGAAAACGAAGAAACCAGATAGACCACCAGCATTGACCCAGGCACCAGAAATTAAAATGGCAAATTCAGCCTTCTTGACCATGCAAAAGTTCTCTTCACAAATATTTTGAGGTTTACGCCAAAACTGGGAAAGCTGTCCCACAGGTTGTCTTTATGGTATGTTTCCATGACATCACAATCACAATCCCTGGGTACCCAATTGGCAGGTTACACCAGAGGTGGCAGCACAATGGTATCCCATTGGGACAGATTTGCCCTAGAAGTCCTCAACATTGGCTCATGGCATCGAGGCAAACATCGGCAAGGAAACCTTCTGCTGATTATTACTGCCTTGGCTGATGATCAGTACTTCTCCAAATTGAATACCACCTGGAGGAAATACTGAGGGTGGAAAGGGCACATGACGCATTCTGGATGGATGACTTCAATATCAACCATTTAGAGTAGCTTAGTAGCAACATCACTGATCGAACTGGAACAGTCCTAAAGAACATAGTGGCTAGATTGGGTTTGCAGCAGGTGACTAGGAACCAACAAAGCGGTAAAATGACTTGACCTTGTCCTCGCCCTCATAAACCTACCTGTCACAGATGTGTGAGTCCATGACAGTACTGGTAGGAGTGACTCACCGACTAGGCCAAAATTTACTGCTCATCCATAATTGGCCTCAAGAAAGTGATGGTGAGCTGCCTTCTCGAACCACTGGTGTTGACAGGATTTAGGCACATATGTAATGCTGTTAGGAAGAGAATTGCAGGATTTTGATCCAGCAGCAGTAAAGGAGTGGCAAGTTCCAAGTCAAGATGTTTGGTTTGGAGGGGATCTTGCAGGTGCTACGTTTACTGCCCGTGTTCTTCCAGGTGGTAGGGGTTGCGTGTTTAGAAGGTGATGTTGAAGGAGATTGGGCGAGTTGCTGTTGTGAGTCTTACAAATGGCATACAGTGCTGCCACTCCACATTAGTAGCGAAAGGAGTGAATGGTGAATGGTGGATGAGGTGTCAATGAAACAAGCTGCTTTGTCCTGGAAGGTGTTAATCTACTTCTGTGCTTTTGGATTTATACCACCCAGGTAAGTGGAGAATACTTCATCACACTCCTGATTTGTGGCTTGTAGATGGTAAACGTAGGAGGTGAGTTACTCATGACAGAAATAAGTTGTTCCTCTGTCTGATATATCAGGGTGACTGCTCAAGAAATTCAGTTTGGGTGTATTAGACATGACCTACCCTTCACAAATTTATGTTGACTCTCTCTAATCAGCTCAAGTATCTCTAAGTGCTCAATCACTCTGTCCTTAATTACAGTTGCAAATAACCTTCCTACAACTTTTAGATTGTTAACAGAGAAAAAAGAGCATTAACAAAATCAACTTCCTGCAATATTGTCTTGTCAAAACAACATGGTTAACTGTAAGGCAAGGAAATAAAATGCTATGCATTAAACATAGCAATTATCTGCAGAATCCCAGCCACAATGAAATTTGTCGCATTATGAAAAACTTCAAAGAATAAATAAATTGTCAACAGATGTTTACTTTAAATGTTTGACATCCTCACCATTAGGATCACAACTGACTTTAAAAGAAAGTTAAGAGTAAATTATTGGAAAAAATTCTGAGGAATAGGATAAATCATAACATTGAAACGCATGGATTAATCTAGAATAATCAGCAAGGATTTGTCAGAGGAAGGCTGCATCTGACTAACGATTGAATTTTTTGAAGAGGCAAAAAGAAATGACGGTAGTACACTTAATGAAACCTACATCAATTTTAGCAATGTTTTCAATAAGTTCCTTCATAGCACATTGGTAATGGAAGTAAAAGCACATGGGATGCAAGGAAGGGTGGCATGTTGAATCAAAAAATAGCTCCATCACAAAGACCAAAAGATAACAGCTAACAGTTTTTGCGACTGGAAGATTTACCATTTCCAGAGCTTAGCATTGGGTCCCTTGGCAGGGGTGTGATTAACAAATTTGCAAATGTTACAAAAATTAGATGTGTGATTGATATCGAGGAAGAAAATTGCGAAATTGAAAAAATACCCAAAGACCTTAGGATGATGAAAGTCAGAAACAAAAACAGAAATTGCTGGGAAAACACGGCAGGTCTCGCAGCTTTCTCTCTGCAGATGCTGCCAGACAAACTGAAGAGCCACACCAGGCTCGAAATGCTAACTCTGTTTCTCCCTTCACAAATGCTGCCACACGTGCTGAGTTTCTCCACAAATTTTTTGTTTTTCATAATTGCACAGTGGTAAATCTTGGTTAAATCAAGAAAGGTGCTAAATGAAGCCCAGCTTCTTTAAAGGAATTGGAGATAATGCCAATAAAACCGTGAATCCTATTCTTCCCTAACTGATCCAGTGTGCAACACATTAACTACTTCCTACAGTGATTAATATTTACACAAAATTATTTTCCACGGTTCTCGAAAGTTTAGAAGTTGATGACACAACATGACTCAAAATTTGACTAACAACTAAATGCCAATATCATGCCACTTGGGTTGTGAACCCTTTGGAATACTGTGCTTCGTATTTGTGTATGTTTAAGATAGAGATTGATAGAGTTTGGATTACAAAAATAGGTAGGATAAGCAGATAAATGGCATTGAAGTGTTTGCTCAGCCATGAGCATATTGAATGGCGAGGCAGGCAGGCAGGCTTGATGGGCTGAATGGTCTACTCCTGTTCCTAATTACCTATTATAAAAAGAATGATGAATTCCACTTTGTAATCAAGTGATAAATGGATTAATGGTAAATTTGCATTTTATATGCGAAAGATTAATAATTACTGCAAAAACACAATTTTACAGTAACTAAGTGATAAAAAATCAAAATGTACAAAAGATTATAATCACAGTTTAACTAGATACAATTTCAGCAGCTCATCAGGAAGATTTAAATAGAATCCTGAAAACAAAAATAGATCATTCAGTCCAATTGTTCTCTGCTCACATAAGATTCATTTTTCTTTACATATACTTCTTCCCATACAATCCCCAAATCACTGCAACCACATATATGTTTCGAACATCTGAATCAATGCTATATGATTAGGTTCTGACACTAGGATTTTATTCTTCCACTGAAGCATGTAGTGGTTTGTTAAGTCACTTCAGTGGACAGTTAAGAACTGAATTCTTTAGGTTGTTACGAAAGACACATACCAAGATAAATATCAACTGGAAGACCATCATCTTGGTCAAAGTCTCTCTTTGGTCTGCCTTGAAGATTTTCATCTTTCAGTGCAAAGAATTCACCATGACCAGGTGTTACAGAATAACGCATTTCAAGGTTGAAGACAACATGCTGAAATTCATGAAAGCTTGGGGAAGATGCCACAAAGGCAGAATGGAAAACAACCATCAACTAAGGTCATAGAACATAGCAGCTGAACACTGAGTAAAAACTTACGTTATACACTTCACATGTAACAAAATCTTGTAAACATGAACTGTAATGGCAATTGTTTCAAGTAACATAAATATGTGGAAGAAATTGATTTGAATGGCCATGTGATTTAATAAATTTTATTAATAAAGTATGGACGGAATCTTAGTCTGAGTGATGTAGACTATGTTGAGTTCTGTGGCAGACTTGGGAGGTAAGTGTGGCAAGGCAGGGTAGGCAAACGGCAAGCAGTGGATGTAATATATCTGATTTTCAAAAGATGTTTTTATTAAGTTAGTGGTAAGATAAGAGTCCTGACGCTGGAAGTAGTGTATTAGATGGATAGAGAATTGGCTATGTGACAAAAAACAAAGATTTGGGATAAGAGGCATTTTCAGGATTGCAATCTGTAAGTGCGGTATGACAAAGGGGTCAGTGCTGGGGCCACAATTATTTACAAAACATATTAGTGACTTGGATGAGGAAAGTGAATGTACTATTGCAAAGATTGCAGGTGACACAAAAATAGGTGGGGAAGGAAGGTGGTGATGATGACACGGGGATATAGACAGGTTAAGCAAGTGGGCAAAAACTTGGTAGATGGAAATAATGTGGGGAAATATGAGATTTGGCAGGAAGAATAGAGAGGTTTAATATTACTTAAATGAGAAACACAGCAGAAAGCTACAGAACAGAGGCCTTTGGGAGTCTTCATCAATGAATCATAAAAAAAAAAGCTAGGATCCATGTTCAGTGGGTAACTGAAAGGCTAATGGAATATCGGCCTTTATTTTAAAGGGAAAGGAGTGGAAAATAGGGAGATTTTGCTAAAACTATACAGTCAGACCATACTTGGAATACTATGAACAGTTTTGAACAGATATACCGCAGTCTAGAGAAAGTTCACTAGGCTGATACCATGTATAGAGGGACTGTCTTATACAGTCATCGAGTCATAGAGCTGTACAGCATGGAAACAGACTCTGCTGTTCAACTCGACCATGCTGACCAGATATTGTAATTAATCTAGTCCCATTTGCCAGCATTTGGCCCATATCCCTCTAGGCCCTTCCTATTCATATATCCATTCAAATGCCTTTTAAATGTTGTTATTGTACAAGCTTCCGCCACTTCCTCTGGCAGTTCATTCCATGCATGCACCA